GAACAGATCATCGCGCATGAAAACAATGCTTGGGTCGAATGCAGAGAATCCAGAGAAAACACTTTGTTTTTAGTAGTTTTTAGGTGTGTGTTTCCGTTCGTATGTCTATATGTCATATATCCTATAGGACCTGAGTGACCCATGTTTGGAGCCACAACATCGTCTTTTCCTATCAAACCAAAGGCGTCCATGTTTCTACTCCGATTCTGGTACTGGGCAAGTGCCTCTGGGCCTTTGGAGTTTCCACCATCGTAAAATCGTAAAGGAGTAGAGCGAGTTTTCACAACTCAATGAATGGAACACAGAGTGAGCCTTGAGAGGCAGAGTCGCCCGTCGTTTCCCTTTTTTTCTGATTCAAATCAGCCGGTTCCTTCCAATTCATCCAGCACCAGCATGGCGACCTCCATCCGGCGGACAGGTCTCCGCCCGGCTGCTTAGGTCTCCAGCGGAACCACCGGGGCGACCGCCAACGAGAACGGTGCGACGGATGCCGGATCTCCCATGGTCACCTTGTCGGCTTTGGATCCGAAGAAGATGGACACGGAGTGAGACGTCCAAAGGAGACGTGCGGTCTTCTGAATCTTCGGAGCGACGTGTCGAGCCAGAATCATCCAGACGGTTTTTTTACCTTTTTTCTGAATTTTTGGGGAGGGGAATGGGGGTCGGAGGTGTTGGTGTTGAAGGTGTTTGATGTGAGGATGATTCTTGGAGCTTGTTAATGAGTTGCCCAGAAAGAGCAAGCACGGTGACTGGTGGAGCAAAGGAACATCATTGGAAGAGTAATAAAAACACTTGTAAACATGAATCGTGCTGACCACATCAAATCATCCCCTCAGAACTCGTCGCTCAAATCATCCCAATCAGATAGATCATTTTGTGCGTCACCATTTGAGAAGACAGCTTCATGACGTATACCAAAAACCTGCTTCATGGGTCCTGGCCTGCCACTTCCATGCTGGCATGCCGGATGGGCGGCTTCGGACGGAGGGACGGCCCCTTTCGCTTCGTGCCGCACCGTCCGATGGTCGTCGCTAGCACCGCTCGTCTCCCTACGGAGACGTCGGCAGCGGTGAGCGTGCAAGAAAGCGACTGCTGAGCGCTGGTGTTGGCGTAAGGACCTGGAGGCGGTTGGACGTATCCTTGCGATTCTTGCGGGTGTGAGGCCACTTCATGTGAACTGTTTGTATATAACAAGGCCCTCCAAAGGTAGATGTTTGACAATCCTGGTCGGGAAGTTCACCGAATAACCCAAACAATCGACCGATGCCTTGGGGATTTTCATGGGGTGTTGACCGTGTTGACCCAGAGCCTGAACCATGGGCAGCCCCTCCCACTCGCTTGGGAGATCTTGAAAGACTTGACAGCGGAGAATGATTTGACCCCTTATAAGATCATTTCTCAGGATTGAACCAATTCAGGGTGAGGGTTGAACCAATTCAGGGTGATATGGTAGCGGTTTCTTGGGAAAAACCTATGAGTTTCTTGGATGTGATGTGATGTGACATGCCACATCTTGATTTACCATTCACATGAATCAATGGTGTTCATATTCCTAGCGCCAAGAAAGCACTTCTATATCAGGGTCCTTCCAAACGCAAACCGGCGACGTGTCCTTCCAAACGCCAAGCCGGCGAGGTGTCGGCAGGACATGCCAGGCGCGGCGCTTTCTTCGTCCGTGGTGGACCGTCCGCTCCTCAAGACCCGATCGCCGCACAGGTCGGAAGGCGACCAGTTTCATGGCGCTTTTCAGTTCGACCCCCCGAAACCGTGGCGTGGCGATCGAAAGAGCGTCGACTTGACTTCGTGGCGATCTTGAGCGGTCCAATCTTCTCGATTTCCTCCGATCTTTCGATGTCCTCAGATCTTCTGAGAAGCCGAGCAGGAGAAAAGAACGGAAGGTCCGGGCGACCAGCTTAGCACGTCGACGCTCAACTTGGCTCAAAAGAAATTGAGATAGAAATCTGAGTGGGTGCGAATTCGGGTCCTGTGGAACGTCCTGTGCGCATTTGGACCATTCCATGTCGACCATCATCTACTTGGAGCAAATGCTCTCACAATCTGAGCATAGTGAGCGGTTCCACCACTCAACGATGCCAACTGTGAGAGCCAATGAGATGCCTGGTTTTGCGGATCAGGTTATTTTCTATGTTCCGTATGGGTAAATAATGGTAAATACCCGTTTGGAACATGTTAATAGTGATATATTTCAGTTCTTTTTCCAGGTTCCTTAAGCAAATCCAAGGATGTGCCAGTGTAGCAATGCCTGTGTCCTCTTCCATTCAGAGTATGGCTGTGCCAAGAGCGAGCGTTGTGAATTCTGCCACCTGTCCCACGATGTTGACATCGACTTCACTCGTCCCCGGAGGGCTCGGCGATTGAAGCTCAGGGACCGGCTCTCACAATACCTCCGGAGGCACAAACCGGATCAACCTGAAGTGCATGCATCCTTGCAAGCGGAGGCTCAACGGCATCCATATGCACGATTTGTGATTAAGGGCATTTTGCATGTGCTGGCATCGCGGAGGGCTTCGAGCACTTCGCAAGAGTTGTTTTGGCTGTAGAGACCCAAAGTCACCGTTGTACAGGTGAACTTGTGCTTGCTTGCGTGCTTCTGCCGTAAGCTTAGCTGCGACTTGACTTTTAGATTCTAATTACTTTGGCCTGCTGTGGCATGCTGTGGCCACTGCTGTGGCCACTGCTGTCGCCACTTTTCGCCTTGGCGAGCTAGTACTTTGCACGTGATATGTCTATTTTTTGGCTTCTGTGATCCAACGAAGCAGGAAGAGCAGGCTTGGAGAGTTGTCTAGCGAGGGACTGTCCATCTAGATGGGACTTATAGCCACTTCGGAAAGTAACAGCCACATCAGCTAGCCAGGACCCGACTTCAAGTACCTTAGTAAAATGGGACATGACCCCATCAAAAAAACAGGTACGACTGTATCCATTTTCCGAGGTACGAACTGAGACTCCAGGTATATCTCAGCTCAACGGGTGGGTTCTGGAAGATTGATCCGGTGGATCATGCAGAGACCTGGTTCCTTGGTTTCAAGGTTTCACTTTTGAACGTCTGCGGACGGTTGCCTTTGTTGTTGAGCCCTGCCTGGCAACAACGTTCGCTCCTGATTTCATCATGGTCGCGTGGGTGGTCGCCATGACCCGAACTCACGTGGCGCCACCTCATGGTTTTTTGTGGATGGCGCCACCACCTGGAACTGGTCGATTGAACATGATCCGAAATCAAGGGGAAATCAGGGGCCATAGATGTTGGCAGGCTCTCCTTGTTGCCGTGAGTCCTTGAGATTGGCATGTGAGTCCTTGAGATTGGCATGTTTTCGCCACAGCTACAGCCAGACATGTGCACAGATGCCAGACATGTGACATGTGGGGCACCCCCGTTCACGTCAGCCATTGCGATGGGTGGCCCGAGCCCAAGAGCCTGGTGCAGCGGGTTTTATGAAAGCGCAGGACCATGAAATCCGAGTCCTAACAGGTGGGTTTCACTCCACTTCCATGATGATTTCAGGAGTATTTTTTTCTATACAAGCGTTACTTGTTTTGCATATTACACTCCTGAAATCATCAATGGCACAGGTATTTTTATATATATCGTATATTTATATAGTATATCACTCACCTAGACACCATGAAACTGAAATTTGGTCCCGCAGTGGTTTGCTTTCGAGCACCTCCCCGCAAAAAGAAAAAGCCACAACGATCCGCTCACATGCCTGACATGCGCAGAACCGGCGCAGAACGACGCAGGGACCGCGGCAGCCGAAGGACTTATCAGATCGATGGGATTGCGAGGCAGATCTGAAAAATACCCACAAAGCCACTGAAGGAGGATTGAACACCCACAAAATGCCTAAAACACATTCCAAAAACATATCATTCCTCCTCAAGTCAATCTTCAACATGTACTCGTTTAACTTGCACTTCGCACTTGTAGGGAAGATGGATGAATATTTGGATAGATCTGGAAGATATTGATCCTCGATCACTGGAGTGCAAAATTCGCGAAGCACCAAGTCTCCTATTAAATCAGCATGGAGTTTTGAACCTGCTGTGACTGACGACCGAACCTGCGGCTCCGCGAATGGAAAGATGGGGCGGCGCTCCGCGTTCCCCGCGTTCTCCGCATCTCTGCGACGCGTTGGCGTCACCGGTGCGGTGCGGTGCTTGTGGCTGAGCTGATCGGACGATGGCCGAAGGGTCCAGGGCCGGCAGGAGATTCAACCTGCAAAAGCGTTCCGTTCTTGAAGAAATGATATAGATTTTGTCTATATAGGAATCAGTTCATCAAAGACCTCAGTAAGCCTGGAGGCCCAAAAATGCCATCTCCGCAGTTCACCTCACTACCTTGCTCTCTCTCTCTCTCTATCTCTCTCTTCCAAGGTCCTGGCTTGGTCGCTCTGGGGCTCAAACAACAGCGCTGCAGGCTGGGTCGGTGGCTTCTCCGTTCAAAACCGCAGAGTCTGAGTGAAGACGTGTAAATTATGGGCCATCCCTTGCTTCCAGCGAGTGGGCTTTTGGATTGTTTGTTATTTTTTTGGTGGTGTTTTTGTACATCACCTCGGTGGGTGGCCACATGGTGCCACGTCCTTGGTGCACCTGCCGGAAAGGGAGACCTGCGACTTCCTCGGCACTTCTTGGGGTCTCCCGGCGACTGGAAGGACATGTTGCCAGTCCTCTGGGACGGAACCAGGAAGAGTCAACCCCTGCCATCCTCATGAACCTCAGGAGGTCTTATGGAGTCATGTGTGTGTTGGTTCCGATGGAGTTCCTTTAAACCTGGAGTTTCCCATGTTTTTCCTATGGTTTCCTATGGTCTCATGAGTGTTTTTCAAGGACACACCTTCTGTTGTGAGGTGAACCTTGCATAATTCCATATAATTACCTACGGCGTGGCTTGAAACACTCGACTTGACTCACCCTGGACCTGTCATCCACATGACTCGCTTGCATCACAGACCTTCAGCTCACAGACCTTTCGGTCCGCCATGCGACTGTTCCTGGTGGCCTGGCTGATCCATACCTCGACGGCCCAACCTGCTGGACGTGGCGAAGATCACGAAGGTGATAGCGATCCACGGGTGGTGCAGACCGTCAATGGCCCGGTGCGTGGTGTGTACCGCGACCCTGGGTTGGCTTATGAGATGATGTTTGGTCGGTTTGTGCCAGGAATTGCAATTAATAAGCGGTAAGGCAAGGATCACGATGTTTTGAACAAGGCCTGCAACTGAACCATCATGCATCCACTGGGCTCAGGGAATAGGATAAGACCCATACCCGGTGATGTTGATGGTGTATGACTGTATGATGGTGTTCCTGGGCGAATCCCCGAAGCTGCAGGGATGATTTTGGGATCTTTTAGAGTCGGCTTCCTGAAGCAAATCCAAGGACCTCTTTCACCACGGTCTCACCTGGTGGGGCCTGCGCTACGCAGCGCCGCCGCTGGGGGTTCGGCGCTGGCGGCCACCGGAGGTCTATGACGAGCAGTGGGGTCCCGGAAGCGTCAAGCCTGCAGAGACGATCCCTCCAGCGTGTTTGCAGCTGGGAGGGTCCGAGACCAAAGGACAAGAGGATTGCCTCTTCTTGAACGTCTTTGCGCCACGGGAAGCCAAAGACTTACCCGTGCTGGTCTTCTTTTATGGTGGTGGCTTCGTGGAAGGAAGCAGTTATGAGATGGGACTTTATGACGGACATCATGTGAGCGTACGGCATCAGGTCGGACATACGTGTTGCGACGGTGTTCACCGCAGTCACGGTTCTTCGGATGTTCAAGGCAATGGCCCGCCCTTGAATCAGGGGACGCCCTCTGAGGGCACTGCTCAGTTCTCTGTCATCCACCAGAAACAGAGATCACTCAACATCCTCTTGTCAATTTTGTTGTTCCCTTGATCCGTAATGACCACAATCACAGTAAATCATATATAGTGACCTTTCAAATTTCATGACATACTATAACTATTATACTTATATAGATTGAAAGAACAGCCAGCATCTGCCAGCATGGTTCATTCTTGGAGTTTCCCAGCTGTTGGTGTTTTCGATTCTTTCAATTCCAGGTGCTGGTGGTGACCCTGAACTACCGCCTTTGGTCTTTGGGCTTTATGGCCTTGGACGCTTTGCAGGCTGAGGCAACGGCCATCGGCGGTGGTTCTACAGGGAATCACGGGGTGCAGGATCAACGACTGGCACTCCAGTGGGTGCAGCAGAATATCAGGCGCTGGCTTCTGCCCGGTTGCATTTTAAGGAATCAGTGCGAGGAAGAATGGCTTAAAAATTGCGGGAACCTTCTTTTTTGGAGCTTTGGTATACCGGTAACAGGGCACCTAGACACACGAAGATGTAAACAGGTTGTCTGGAAGGTCTTGCACAATCCAATGCTGAACACCCTGAGCATGCTACGCCGGCAAAGACCTGTGGGAAGACCCCTTTGCCTTTGGTTCATGGGCATTAATGGGCAACCAGTGACCAGTGATGCCAGGTAGGTATTTGGAGCTTTGCCATTCCCTTGTGCTCCCACTCGTCGTCCATCAAAGTTGGATTTTTGTTCAGCTTGCCTTGCACTTTCCTCGTCAGCCAGTTATTCTTACAGATCATTTTGGGATCCCTCGAGCGCTGTGGCGTTCTGAAATCGACGTTCTTTCGTGCTTGTCCAGGCACTTTGGTGGCGACCCCCGTCGGGTGACCATCTTCGGGGAGTCTGCCGGAGCGTTCAGTGTGATGTGGCACTTGGTGAGCCCGCAGTCCAAAGGGCTGCCTGGTTGGATCGGTTCTTGGGACGGCGGGAACGGCGCCGGGAACGGAGAGGAGGGAGCGGAGGACATTCGGTTGGGTTTGAACACCGTCCGGTGGCACCGGGTACCCATTTTTTTTTTCTGAATGGCTGTGCCGCGGTGGGTTGTGGGTGCGTTTTGTCCAGTGGATGGCTTGTGCAAGTGGTCCAGTGGATGGAATTGTTCCCCTTTTTCCGATGCAGGGATGAACAGGGATGAACGCCAGCCTGTTTCTTTTGCACGAAGACGATCATCTGCGCCGATCTGTTGATTGCCTTGCTTGGTGAACTGACTCAGTGTAGAAGGGGTGTTCCCAGCTCCCGTCAGGGAGGCCAAGGCAACTCTGTGCTTCGTTTACAGGGATTGTAATTAGATGTAATTAGTAATTATACGATGTATACCCCTAGGGCTCCAACCATATCCTCAGGTTCGGTGGTTAGACCCCCTGCCACCCACCCCAACCATCTTCTCACAAGTTTTGGGCCCTGGGGTACTTACTGTTCCACTCCTCCCCGAAAGGATGGCCATAGGAAATACAAACAGGTGTTTCCACCGCACTCCACCTGACTGGTGCTTAGTAGGGAATAAGGGAATGAGCCCCCCAATAGAGATTCTATTGGATCCATTTCCTCATTCCCTGCTAAGCACCAGTCAGCCACGTAAACCATGTTGTCAAGGAGTTTTTGGCACAATTCTTGGTGGTGAACTGGCCGGATGGTTGGAGTGACCGGTGACCGGTGAGGAAGTGACCAGATAGCTGGGACCGGTGATGGTTTGCCTCCTAAACGGTTTTGTGGAGTTAAGGTTGATGTTTATTTTCCGAAAAACCGGGTGAATCACTGTTGGTATCCTTCTGTGGAAGATGTATGAATTTGTATGAACGTGTTGTATTTTGCCCGGCTCCTAGACAGCAAATCCAAACTCCAAGCTGGTGTGTTTGCAAACCCCTCCATATAATGGCCTAGTTACAGGGCGAGCTGTTTTTGTCCCTGACACAGTTCATACCTCTTTCCCTGAGGCTGAACAGCCCTGTTTTTCCCTGAGGCTGTTCCAAGCAGCGATCATGGAGAGCGGCACGAGCGATGTGAGCTTCTTCTTCCAACCCCTTCCACAGGCGAAGGCCACGAGCGGCCTGGAGCGGTCGGGGGGTCCAAAGGGTGTCTCGGCATGTCCCGGCAGGCCTCAAGCCCACTATACTTAGTAGGGTTCTGACGGGACCCCTAGACAGGGTGGTCCAGATCAGAATGGATTGGTATTTACATGTATTTACTTCTAAACCCACTCAGACTAGCGCATAGCAGGAGCCCCCGTTCGGGTGCCACGATTAAGAACCCCTTTACAGCTTCAGGGTGTGCTTTCCCCTTCACAACCAAAACCACTCAGACTACCAATGCTGTTTTTGGACTGATTTCGTTGCTGGTTTCGGTCTATGAATCCATGACACATCCATGAAACATTGGCGAGAGTTAGACCTGGGCTTGGAGGCCTACTACGAAGACTTGGCCGAGCGGCTCCAGTGTCCCAAGAGCTTGGGAGTATGGCAGCTTCCCTGCCACTGGGAGGACTTGGTGCAGCTTCATCACCGAGATAAGCATAGTCCCAAGCAAACAACATCAAACAATGCCTCCGAACATTCCGTGTGTTTTTGCACCTTCCGAAGGCCTTGTTGGGATTTGCTTCGCCTTTTCCCCAGTATAGGGCTGGCTAGTACTGCCCGCATGAGCTTCTATATATCGATGGGTCAGCTGGGTGTCCGTTGTCCGGGTGCCCCTGTTCATACCTTTAAAGACTGGTCGGGACCACCGGTGGGCCAGTGGGCCGGCTGAGGCCTAAGGGCTTTGCCGGCCGAACGGCTTGTGGAGGTGGAGGCAGGGTCCGAGGTTTTGGGGAAGTAGGATCACCTGCAAAACCCTTTGGGGGTGTCTAAACAAGGGCGAACCTATAGAACCTCATGTTTTCCAGGGAAACTCAATGAGTCAGGTTCCATGTCGGTTCGGGGATGCCAACATCATCCACTCACCCCTGGGCGGGACGAGCGAGCTCAACTCCACCCAACTCAACTCCTGGCGGGGATCGAGCTCACCCGAGACTCGCGTGAGACGAAGGTGGTTTCACCCTACCACCTTCGTGGGTGCGAAAGCGCCACCAGGTACTGAGGACTCCCGAGAGACCGACACCAGGTACATAGCTGCTATAGCTCCTGCCTGGTGGTGTTTTTGGAGGTTTTTTGGGGGTGCCTGGAGCCACGACCCCATGACTTCCCTCGTGGTTGGATTTGGGGTTTGAGGGTCGAGAAGGAGGGTCGGGTCGTAAGATGTGAAGGAGGTCGAGGCTTGGACTGGGAAGAGTTGGAGATGCACAGGTAGACAGCACTGCCCATGTTCAGCTCCATAAACCCTCATAGACCATTGGACCATCCCCATCTAGAATGTTAGATATATATGATATACATTTATATCAAATAACTTTATAAGAGCCTAAAACCTCTTCAGAAACGCAACACACGGCCAAGGTGTGTGTATTATTATTATTTTTTTTTAAAGTTTTTTTTTTCCCCGTTGCATGATGCTTGCGGAACACCATCCCTTCGCTTGGCCGTTTGACCCGACCAGGCGGGCCTGGATGGGCAACGGCCCGCCGTCCACTCACCGCTGTGGCCTTTGATGCCGAACGGTCCGGCGATCGACGGCACGGAGAGCGGCTTGCTGGATGTGCCGATCGAGCTGGTAAGGAGGGGACACTTCAACAAGGCGGAGCGGGAAGTGGGAAGATGGAAGGTGGAAGGGGCTTGGGAATTGTTGGGAGGGAGGTTGGAGATTGGAGGAGGGTGTTGGAGAACGAAGTTCCGGGCTAGATAGGGTTTGACGTCATGATGCTGTCAAGCGTGTTTGGTTGGATTCTTTTTTGGGAGATGAGGTTCTTCAAGTTGTTTTCTCTGCCTTTTGGTTGATGGGGCTCAGCATGTTGGGCCATGGCCATGGTAGTGAAAATCCAGCTGTATCCTGGCTCTTCTGGCGAACCTTGGCTGGATCCACGCAGGTGTAATTCAAAACAGGATGATCGGAATCATCGGATCATAGAATATGTTTGGATTCCCAATTCTGCGGTTTCCTTCAAAATGTTCGACGTTCTCTGAGCAGGACTTGTTCTTGCTTGCGGTGAGTCTTGCATTCGAATGTGAGCTGTGTGCAGTGCATAGAGGAGAACCTCCCCAGCTTGATGGGTGAAATTTGCAGAACTTCTCCAGTGAATCCACGACCGGCCATGCTCGGGGGGCTTCCGCATCCAAACCGGCTTCCTCCAGCATCCGACGGCCAACCGTGGCCTTCGCAGCATCCAAACCAGGTCCCATTGCTCTTGGGTTCCAATGAGAACGGTGGCAGCATCTTTGAGCCGATGCTTCCCATGGTGCTGCCGGGCACAGAGCTGCCAGTCAAGCGCCACCCAGACACTGGGCGATAGAAGTGCAGAGCGCTGTGGTAGCTTGTGAACCTTGAGTGATCTCCTAAAAGGTCCTAAGAGATAGTCCATGATTCGGCAGGAGTCACGCTTCGACGGGTTCTTCCGGTTCCGAACGAAGGAAGGAGTACAGGTGCCCTAGCGTGCCCCTGTCACATCCACTCACTGGATAGGACTAAAAAGTACCCACTCCATGACTCCATGTGACTCCTGGTCACCCTTCAGAGGGATTGCACTTGTTTTTTTTTCCCCATCAGTGGGCTGTGTTTCAGGCTTGAGGTGCACAGAGTGTGCCGTGTGCCTTCCCACTAGTTCGTTCGCAAACAAAACAAGGCTACGCTCCATGTTGGGCAGAACGAACCTCTCGAGGTTGATCCGGATGTGTTCAACTTGAGAACAGACTTGGTTTCTTTGGATCAACCGGAAGCCTTGAGAAGGCGTCCGGTGCTCCAGCCGGACCGGCTCCGTTGGACATCAGGCCGTGGGAGCTGCACGGGTTCTCGGCGATCTCGGTTTCGGAGACAAGGGTTTTGGACGAAAGAACAGCGGGTCTCGGGTCACCCACCTCGGACCACAAAGGGCCGTTGGAGATTTCATATGAGCCGCCTGAGGAATATGGCCCCCGGCATATGTGGCAAAAGGTATTTACGGCCCTTGTCAAGGGTCATAGTGTGAGTGCAATGCAGGTTGGGATGCAATTCAGATGCAGAAATAACAACTCTGCTCCCTCCGGATGAGGAGACTCTGCAAAAAGCCTTGAAGTACTTCTTCCACGAGAATGTCTCCCAGGCATGCGGCGTCTTTTGCTTTTGTTTTCTGACCCTGTTGCAGGACCCAAACAAAAGGGGTCCGCCTCAATAGGCCCTTAGAGGTTAAGGGGTGCTTATTTACGATCCCTTGTGGGTCCTGGTTTGGACTCTAAACACATCCAGGTGGAGGCGATCTACAACCTCTGGGAGTTCCCGGATGGCGACGTGTTGATTCGACGCATGATCCGAGACCTCATGTTTATGTGCCCCTTGCGCGCCCTAGCCACTGCCTGGCACCAAAACCAGCTCAACAGCTATGTCTATGTCTTCGACTTTAGTGCCCTGGTGCTTTTTCAGAGGTCTGAAGAGTTTCTGTTCAGGATCCGTCCAGTTCGCTGGCGACGGTGAAATGATCTGTACTTTAAGCCACATGGAAGGGCAGAGTAGGGGCGACCATGGGCGACCAAGATCAGTGGGTGGAGGAAGCGCCTTTCTGCAAGACTTTCGGGGAACACACCGATGTGAAGAGCTATTGAGAGCCTTTAATTGAAAAGATCCAAACTCATCCTCATCATCACCACCACCACCAGCATCATCATCATCATAACAATAGTATTAATAGTAGTAATAATAATCATCATCATCGTCGTCGTCCTCGTCGTCATCGTCGTCATCGTCATCGTCGTCATCGTCACCGTCATAGTGATCACGATCTCAGCGTTAGTTTGCCGAGGTTTGTCAAACCATATCAAACCTTCAAGAATATGACGCGTTGTTTCCATCCACTTTGTGTCCAGCAGGAAATCGCATTCTTGTTGAAAGCTATGGCAGGTGGGCACCTGTCCCAGGGCCCAGGACATGAATTACATACAGCCTGCTCAGTGTCATGGGAGACCTCCGATTGACCCCCCTGGAAGAAGGAATCGGAATGACTTCTTGGGCGTCCCGCAAAACCATCGTGTCATACGGTGCGCCCACATGGGCTACGGCTCATGGCGTCCGGCGAGGCTACGGCTTGGTGAGTTGGTTGGGCCTGGGCGACTTTCACGGTTCGGAGCTGCCCTTCGTCTTCCGCAATTGGCTCGAGACTCGTCACGGAACGAGACCGCTCGGCGGCGACATGACTTGGAACCAACGGGGAATGACACAGCTGGTTCATGCGAATGATCACAGGCGCCTTTCATCATGAGCCAACGTCCAAACACAGCATGTTTGTACATGTTGCCTTCCTCCACGAGTGAACATTCTTTTTGGGCGTCCTGGCTTAGTTTCGCTGTTTTCTACGTGCAGCACCCAGGAGCTCATCAAGCCGATTGATCTTTTCCAATCCCCACATCGCATGAGTGACATCATCAGTTGCAACTGGGCATCCTTTGCATATCGACAGGACCGCTGCACATCCCACGCTGAACGGATTAAGTGACACGCTTATTTTCTAACCTTCTGCATGCTCTATGTGCTGATGATGTTTTGCCACCTCGGGGTGTTGGGGCTCATCAAACGTATGGTGAACTCGAAATCGAAATGGAACGTGTTGGAACGTGATGCGGATCGTTCCCACGCCAGGACCCCAATGGCGGGAACATGAGCATCCCGGGGTGCGGAAGTGTGCATGGCCACACCTTGCCCTGGCCCCAGTTCGAGGAAGGCTCACGTTTCTTCTACAGCTTGAATCTTGAGCTCAAGAAAGATGACCTATACCCGGCTGGGAGGTGAACATCTATTAATATCCCGAAGTAGTTCCAGAAGATTCCTGAAGTATATCCTGGACCTTCTTTTGATACAAAAAAAACATGCTCAAGTGTTCAATTGATACACTTTTTGCTGCGTCGAGCGCTTTTTCGAGAGGGACTTCAATTCGAGCACATGTTTCTAAGACCTGGTGTTTTTGAGGAAATCTTCCTTTTGGTTCATCTTGGTCCCAATCAGGCATAATGAAGATCTTCTGTGATCTTTTGGTTTGTTGGAGTCTTTTGTTCCTGCATGCGTGCATGTTTTTTGTAAAGTTGCAGCTGTTTTTGGCTTTGAAGCTCTTGGATACCTGTCATGGAGATGCAAGGCATTTGGTTGATTGATGTTGACTGCAAACATGCACGCATAACAATTGCGCACTTCTTGCTTGTTGTGAAGGTGTTCAATGGCAAGCAGGCATCACTCAAGGGGTCTGAGACACTTTCTTTGGAAAGAGTCAGGCTGGGCTCATGAACGTGGCATGATGTTGCATGGCATGGAGATGTGGAACCTTGCCTTAGCTTGCTTGCTGTGTGCCTGTTTGCATTGGCTTGATGTGCACTTCATGTCAATGAGCAAATATAGCTTGTCCAAGTCAGGTTCCTCAAGTAGGTCAGATGGTGTTCTCTGAGCAGGCAGCAATCTTGCTGAGGTTGGTATTGACTTGTAGAGTAGAACAGCCAGATGCATCACTCCTGTACCAATACTATCGGTGGCAGTGGCTGCAGCACGGGGTTTGTTGGGCAGCTTGCCTTGTTTGGTGTTCATGTTCCGACATGTTTCTTTTGCATGGCATGCGTGTGCATTCATGGACCTGGTTACATGAGGTGTACAAAACTTCGTTCTGGCTCATGCACTATGGGAGCCCGAGTCCGAAGAGGCTTCAAGTCCGATCAACATGGCCATGTATTCGACAGCTGGATTTGGGGAAACTTCCACGTTCAGAGCAGATCCGACTGACGACTGTCACTCTGTCGTCTTAGACTCAGCCTATGCAAGCTTGCTTGTGGACTGCCTTCAGTGACTCTGCAGTGGCTTTAGGCAAGAAAGGGAAAAACATGGAGTGGAACCAAAGATTTGCGGTCAACTCAGCAGCTTCCTTAGCATGCCTGGATTTGGCATGTTGCTTGTGTGCGATGGGCATGTTCCAGTGTAGGACCTACCCCCACAATTTGGAGCTCGTCTTTTTCGAATTTGGTATGATGCACCCCTTGTGGAGAACCGGTCTTTGAGGCGAGTGTTTGAGTTAGAACAACTTTTGTTGATTGCATGTGTTGCCAGGAGCAAACCGCCGGTTAGCAAAGATAGAACTGATCGGGAACTGATTGAATCCTTGGAGCTTCAAGACACCTGGAGTGATGCCAACCTCTTTTCACTAAAAAGTAGAAGGGGTGAACGCTAAAGGGGGTGAGGCTCTTATTGGGAACCCCCCAGGAAAAAGCAGGACAATTCAAGGAGAGCCAGGAAAATAATGATTGGTTTTGGTGGGGCCAATTGAACATGGTTTGAAGGATATACTTATGGGAAAAAGGGGTGTCATGCTTTTGTTGAAGCACCTTTTTCCGTACACTTTTAAGAGGTCATTGTGAAAGGGTCTCATGTGTACACTTCCATGTGGTAGTAGGTTAAGCTCGCCTATGTGTCTGAACGCATCCCAATGCCCTTCAGCTGGGTCCATGAGAGGACATGAAGGGTGCAATTCTTGTGGTAAAGTTGGGTACGTAGGACTATACCGTATGCTTAAGATCTCAGGTCTGTGTCATGGCAGCGCACTTTGGTCGGATTTGCCTTTGCAGATGTTGACCCACCGTGACCCTTGACACCATAAGACAAGAATCCTTGCTAGACTTGCTGACGGTCGACATGTCCACAACTGGAGACTGCGCCTGCCAATGCCGGACCAACAAAACGATCCTGAATGGCCCGAGGTTTGCTGACGCATTGAGCCACAAAGACCACTTCAAACAGTAAAAACACATCTAGGAAAACTCACTCAAGGTGAGGCTGCGGAACAGTGCAGTGAGGAGTTGTGTCCAACAGCACCTCAAGTCGTGCTTTCCGATCAACGACCCCAAGTTCATGGTCTCGATGGGTCGTTGTTTAGGTCGTTTTCACCCGGAAAAGTTGAGAACAACTCAGATACTTGGTTGATGCCCCAGCTGCGTTAGACTATGTCACGTCAGTTTTGATGGACGGAACTCTGTATATGACAAACCTAGTACTGTGCCACAGCTGTGCTCATGCCGATTGCTTTGGTTTCGGCGTCTCAATGGCTGCTGCGGCTGGAATCCGCGAAGGATTGCAAGGCAGCGATCCAGTCGTTGAAGCTTGGCGAGACAGGTCCCCTTCGAGGGTCCCACATGTTTGGTCCCATGTATGGGTCCCATGCCCCCTGTGCGAGTCCCCCATCAAAGGGCCACGCAAGACATACCTGTGACCTTCCAAGGAGTGAGCTGGCCGAGTGCTCCAGGAGCCAGGTGAAAAGCTACTCGGCAGACATGGTGGCTATAGCGATCTGAGGGTTGCCTCCTGGCTGGCAGGTGTACACCCGTATGGGGGGACCCCACACAACAAAAGAAACATGGTGCATCGCCGCTGCCCGCAACATAGCTTCTTGAGATGCTGGTGGGCCAAACCCCGCCATGTAGGACACCACACTCTGCATTCAGACCCGGAAAACTAGCAACAGAAGTCGCGCAGCTAATCGAAGCCCAAATCCGACTCCGTCCTGACAAACCATTTTGGAGCTAGCAACAGAAGTCGCACAGCTAATCGAAGCCCAAATCCGACTTTGTCTTGACAAACCATTTTGGAGCGATTCCTGACAAGCCCTCAACGTTGGGCGCAATTGAGGTGTGTGTGTGTGTCATCCACCGATGCTTCGGTGGTGCAGATCGACTTCGAAGACAGCGTCTCAAAGAAGGCCGTGTTCAACGTCCTGACGCGGAACTGCACGTCTCTCGAGTGGAGCTCCTCCAATCCTGAGGCGTGCTTATCATTGGGACAGTTGGCGCGATGGGTCGATGGGTTGTGCGAGGATCGACCCCACAACACAGCAGTCATCCCAACACGAGACCCCCACCCCGTTAGAAATGGAGGCTCCATACCAATTTTCCGGTTCACAGGTCTTCTGGTGGGCCCCGCAAACATGGGACACTGGGACGATGGGCCATCAACAGGTCGGAAAGAAGAAGCAAAGCAAAGAAAAAGGAGAAGGCAAAGAGAAGGAGGCACAGAGGGTTGAGCTGGGACCTGGTGTTGGGCATGGGCACATAACACGTTCGAGCCGATCGGAAAACACACGCACACACACATACACGTACATAAGTATAGCAGGTTGGGAAGTTGCGCACAAGCTCGCTCGACGCGCGCAAGCTCCCTCGACAGGTTGGAAAGAAGCAAAGGAAAGGAAAAGGAGGAGGCAAAGAGAAGGAGGCATAGTGGGTCCAGCTGGGACCTGGTGTGCGGTCGGGCGTGGGCACGCAACACGTTCAAGCCGATCGTAAAACACAGGTCATCCTTTTGGGGTCCCTATGCCATCAGGTTCCATGTTAATCTTCCCGGAGTGCTTGGGTCATATTGAGTTACAACTATATACTTTCACCGGCTCCAAGGACCATCCCCACCATGTCTCATTTGTCACAGCATGTCTCATTTGTCAGTGCTGTCAGAGCACTTCTACTTCGCCAGCAGTAAGAATCCATTTTACCCTGATTTACCCTGACGGATATGCCGCCTCGCCACACCAGCAAAAGGCAACACAGTACAAAACCACCTCACCAGCAGATCAAGAGAAACCTACGTCTCCAAAGCTTACGTTTATATTCACCAATGCCTGGGATTTGTTGGAAGGTTCCTCCACGTTCCTCGCACTCCGTCGAGGAATGAGTCCAGCGGACAGGAAACGCGTGAGGTCAGTGGCATGGGGGGTCAAAACTGTGTGGGGGGGTTTTGGCGCTCCCTTGGTCAACATGTGCTCTGGCATTCGAGCTTCCCCTTTGGCAGGATGAGTAAATAAACGCCGCCCCCCGAAAGATAGTCGGTCATCAACACAAAGTGGTCGGTCATCAACACAAAGTGGTCCAAAACCGCAACACCCGCAGGTCGGAAAGGAGACAAGGCAGAAGCAGAGCAAAGAGGCAGGACTCTTCTGGGAGTGAGCCGGCCTTTAATGCCAGTGTGCTTTGGTGTTGCGAATTCTTGGGATTGAGAATTCTAAGTGAAGATGAGTGTTCTTTGAAATTGGTTTGTGCGGTCACGTGGGGTTGCTTGCCGTCAACTCGGTCGACTTTACCCATGCCCACCCTTATTGTCCAAGGGGCTGCCCTTGGATTGTGGATCGGGTCGGTATCATTTGCAGCGCTTGCAAGGGTGTCACAGCTAAGCAGTTCCATTGAAGGACATTTTTTCGTATTGATGACTTTGTTGATGGGCGGCCGAGTTGGCAAACAGTCAAACAACAGGGACATCAGCCCAAGATCAAGCACGAGGAAATCCAAATGTTTGTGGGAAGGCAGTTGGAAAAGAGGTTTGCCATGCTCCTGGCCTGGCTCGAGCTCAAGCTTGCAGCGGTCAAAAGCCGCCACCTCTCGCACATCCTCTCTTAGATTGCGGCCCGCCATGTGGGGACAGTGGAATGGCCAATGGTGGGATCAGGGCCAATGGCCAGCGCAACAGTGGTGGCCACAAGAC